TTTTTATAATCTCCCCTCATAGCTCATGTTTTCTAGACTTTTCATCATTTTTGTTGCTCGTCTCTGGACTTTCTCCAGTTTGTCCACATCCTTCCTGAAATGTGGCACTTGAACTGAGCACAATCCTCCAGTTGAGGCCTAATCAGCGCGGAGTAGAGCAGAAGAATCACTTCTCGTGTCTTGCTCACAACACTCCTGCTAATCCAGCCCAGAAGGAGGTTCGCTTTCTTTGCAACAGCGTCACACTGTTGACTCATATTTAGCTTGTGACCCACTCTGACCCCCAGATCCCTTTCCGCGGTGCTCCTTCCTAGGCGGTCATTTCCCATTGTGTGTGTGCGACTGATTGTTCCTTCCAAAGTGGAGTACTTTGGATTTGTCCTTATTGAATTTCATACTTATTTACTTCTGACCATTTCTCCAGTTTGTCCAGATCATTTTGAATTTTAATCCTGTCCTCCAAAGCACTTGCAACCCCTCCCAGCTTGGTATCGTCTGCAAACTCTATCAGTATACTCCTTCCACGTTAATTGTGTCCTCGCTTTGGGCTGGAAAGCCCCAAGGTTACGTCCACACTGCAACGTAAGCTCCATGTTTGTGGCCCTAACCCCCCCTTCTGTCTACACACAAATCGCACCAACCCAGGCTTCCATGGGGATGGAGGGTCCTAGCTGAGTGAAGCCGGGAGCCAGGATTCAAGGCCTATTGCTTTGCCGTGTGGACACGGCCCCTCTGGACACACACTCTGGGCGGCCGCTAAAAGTATACCATGATCCCTCTGGGCTGTTGAGTTTTCCCACGCTGCCCCATGAGCAGCTGCATTCTTGGGAGGACACTAGGATGTCTGGATGTCACTTGGATGTCCACACAGCAGTACAGGGGGGCCAAGCCTGGGTGGTTGGGCTTGGCCCCCTGTACTGCCATGTGGACACTGGGGTGCCAGGGCCCAACTGTTCCTAACCCTGGGTTACAAATGACCCTCAAGCCCTGGGTCTGCGGCTTACGTGTAGCCAGGAACCGAAGGGAGTTGGGCACCTAACTTCATCGCAAGAGCGGGATGCTTTGATTCCCATTAAGTCCGGTCTTCTTTTTCTCTCATGGACCCCTTTTGGGGCCCCCCACCCTCCCGTGAACAGGTCTGAGGCCTGACAATTCATCTCACATCAGCGAAGGTCCCAGCATCACACCACAGGGCCTGCTCGGCTACAGAGATGAGCATCGCCCAGAGCCGGGCAGCAGCAGAGACAGCGTCTTTAGCACTGAGGACACCTTTGCATGCCCCTGCCTCCAATCTATTTGTTTTAGGGGTGTCTCAGGCCTCCATCACCTTGGTATCTACGCGCCTGGATGGCCTCTTGATCTGCTTTCCCTTAAGGACTTTGATTAGGCTAACGGTACGGAGCTGCAATTTGCAGCGACGGATCCATTCAGCAGGAAATTTTTGCTGACGAGCGAACGAGCGGAGGGTACTTTTAATGGCTCCCGCTGGGCATCGTTAAAAAGTCTTTGCCCAGATCGCGAAGCAAAGTTTCAACTTCCAAGCGGGGCGCAGAGGGGATTGGGCAAATCCAGAGGGCTCCGCCAGCCTGGCACCAACGTGCGCTGGGAGGAATTCAGCCCAGGGCGCGAAATGCCTAGAGGCAGCCGGCGGGCATGGACGTCTCCACGGTGGTGGAGGCTAAAAACAAAAGGAGTGGCAACTAAATGAGTAGCGCGGGGAGGAGCCGTCGCTGGGGAACTGGGAGATTGCAGTGGAGACAGAACAATTATTAGTTACGGAGCAACATTACCACGGAGGGTTTCAAGGGGAATCCAGCCAGTTCCCTGTAAACAGCTGGGGCGGTAAACTCGTCCACTGTGATGCATCCTGGTGTGATGCATCCTCTTTGATCTCACCTGCCCTTAGCCTCGTCTATGCTTGCTGGGGGTCAGCTCCCCAATTTCCCTGGCCACAGGGGATGCAAGAATTGTCTTCCGAGTCCCCCGCAGGCCCTGCTGTCATGCCGCAGGTTGGCGACCAGCCCTTCGAGTAGCCACTCTGGAGTGTCCGGTCCGCTGAACCCTCACAAAATTCGCAGATCGGTGGCTCCCGAAGAGATAGTACCGTCCCGTTTACCGGTTCCCCTCTCTGATCCCCGTGCCGCTTAACTCACAGCACTGAGATAGGTTTATAGTGAAATCACATGTGAGTTTATTTAGCCGGGGGGGCATTCAAGTGACAGCGCAGGGTAATAGCGGGGACAGGTGGTGGTTTAGAAAAATAAAACCATAAGACGGAAAATATCGTCATGACTCTATGTAAATTCTACCGGACACCCACCCCTTGACTACTGTGGGCTGTGCCCGCCAGCTCAGACAAGCTATATTAGAATTGGACAAGGTGCAGAGAAGGGCAACCAAACTGATGAGGGGGCTGGACCAGCTTCTGTGTGAGGCGAGATTTAAAAGATCGGGACTGTTTAGCTTGGAAAAGAAAAGACAAAATGGGGATGTGAGCGAGGGCTATAAAACCACGAACGGTGTGGCAAAAGTGACTAGGGAAGTGTTGTTTACCCCTTCACATAACACACGAACCAGGGATGAAGTTAACAGGCATGTTTAAATAGCATTAATAACATGTTTAAAATGAACAAAGGGAAGTATTTCTTTACACAGCATACAGCTAACCTGTGCAACTCCTTGCCAGAGGATGTTGTGAAGGCCAGAAGTAGAACTGGGTTCAAAACAGAACTGAAGAAGTCCCTGGAGGGTGAGTCCCTCAATATTAGCCAAGATGGTGAGGGACGCAACCCCATGAGCTAGGTGTCCCTAAATCTCCAGGTGCCGAAAGCTGGGAGTGGACGGGCGATGGATCACTCGGTAATTGTCCTGTTCTGTTCATTTCCTCTGAAGCACCTGGACCCGGCCGGTGTCGGAGACAAGCTACTGGGCTAACTGAACTCAGTATGGCCGTTCTTACGTTCCTAAAACCGTAACACGCCTTCTCGAACCTGGACTTCATTAATCCTCCGCCATGAGCCAGGCCTGCTGTTGGTTTGCCTCCTCGGTGAAGGATTCAGGCTACGCGGCATCAGGGGCAATGCACAGAACAGGGCAATTTTGGAGAGATTCCCCCCATCTTCCACTCCTGGCTTGTGGCCGTCAGAGGTTTAGGGTCACCCTGAGCATGGGGTTGCTTCCCTGACCATCTTGGCTAATGACCATTGCTGGACCTAGCCTCCAGGAACTCACTCAGTTCTGTTCTGACCCCAGTTACGCTTTCGGCCCTCACGACATTCCCCTGGCAGTGAGTTCCACAGGTTAACCGTGTGTTTTGGGGAAAATTGCTTGTTCGTTTTAAAGCCTGCTGACTATTGATTTTGGGGGCACACTCATGGGCCGAGAACTGTCCCCTCCTCAGGGTCCAACACACTCCACCAGGATTTGCAGGGATGCCCGGCCACCTTGTCCAAACAGACGGGGGTTTGGTGAGCCCCTGGCACGCACCATCTCTCTCTCTTAGCAGAGAGGAAGCAAGTTTAAAAGCACAGGCCGGTCTCCCTTGAGCCGAGCTGCAGAAAGAAAATATCTTGGCTTCTTCTCTCTCTCTCTGTCCCTTGGTTGCCTGGTCCAGGTGAGTTGCTGAGTCCTGCCAAAGGCCGGCTCTTGCCCCAGCTAGCCGATACGTCCCAGACCGTTGTCCGACCCCTGCTGGGCTAATACGGCCCACCTGCCAGAGATCCCCACGGATTGGGGTCAGTTGCCCGCTCCTTGGGCCTCCCGTTGTCTTTGCGGTCCCCTTGGCTGATACGGGCCCATTTCAGCCAGGTCTTTAACAACCCGTTCAATCCTCCCCAGACCATTCGGTGACGCAGCCCGCCCCTGCTCTGCTCCGGGAACAGCGTTTGAACCCCGTTTCCCCCACCCAGTAGCCATGCAAAGTTACAGAGGGAAACTGAGGCAGACATGACAGAAAATTCCCAGGCAGTGACCTCATAGAGCCCTGGCCAGCTCCTGGGGAGACGCGGCAGTGACCTCATAGAGCCCTGAGACGGGGAGCCACCAGGAGGCCCAGAGGCTGCTGGAGGACTGCGACCTGCCTGGGAAGGTGAGTATGTTTCCAGTGTCAGAAGAGCGACCGTAGTAGGGCAGAGCAATGGGCCATCTTGCCCAGTGTCCAGGCTCTGACAGTGGCTCTTATCAGAGCTTCAGGGGGAGTGCACAGAACGGGGCAATTCTGGAGAGATCCCCCCTATCTTCCACCCCCTGGCCATCAGAGATTTAGCCCCCACCCCACCCCTCGAGCATGGGGGTTGCTTCCTTGACCATCTAATAGCCATTCCTGGACCTGTCCTCCAGGAATGTACCCAGTTCTGCTCTAAACCCAGTTACGCCTTCGGCCCTCCGACATTCCTGTCGCTGGGAGTTCCGCTGATTAGCCGGACGCTGCGTGAACAAAGGACGTCCTTCTGTTTGGTTTCAACCTGCCACCTATTCATTTCAGTGGGCCCCCGCCCCCCCGCTGCTTGCGTGATGCCAAGGGGTAAATAATGCTTCCCTGTTCCCTTTCGCCGCATCAGTCACGATTTTATAGCCCTGTAGCCCATCCCCCGCGTAGTCGTCTTTCCAGTCTGTTCACTCTCTCCTCATACGACCGCCGTTCCAAGCCCTTGGTCGCCCTTCTCTGAACTCTTTCCCAGCCTGGAGCTGCAGGCAGCGTGTCATGGGGGGGGGCGCACCATGGATTTATTGTCTGGCATTCAAACCCCAGCAGGGTGCGGGGCTCCCGTTCCCGAGTGCAGGCGAATAGCTGTGGCGGCCCGGGCCTGGACCCGCTCCCCTTCCCCCGGGAGACGAGTGTGCTGGGGCGCGGGGTCTCATGAATGGAGGGGTCAGCAAGTTGTAAATCAATGGGGGGAAAGGTCTTTCGGGCGCGCGAAATGCTACGGGACCGGGAAGTCTTCGCTCTAGGAAGTGTGTTATGATGTTATTTTACGTGTAACCGGGTGTTTCCTTTTGTTCTCCTGGCTTCTTCTGGGATCCCTCTGCCCCACGGTCCGTCGGCCCCGCGCTCACCCGCCTTAGCGCCCCCCCCGTTGTTATTTGTCACCACCAGGGCACCATGGACCCGGACGACCTGAAAGTGGCGCTGGAGCGGCAGAGGGGGGAGAACAAGGAGCTGGTGGAAGCCTTGATGCAGCTGGAGGCCGACTACGCCCAGCTGCAGCAGGAGCGAGCGGAGGCGCGGGAGGAGGTGGGCAGGTGAGGGGCATGCAGCGCCGGGCGGGAGCCAGGGTGAGGCGCTGGCTCGGCACGTCTTGGCCGATGACCCGGGAGAACAGATCGGCTCGCCGCCGCTGAAGTTTTGCAGGCAGCAGGAAGGTTGGGGGGCGCAGTAATTAACGCGGGGGACGGGTGGCTGGTTCAGCATGATCGGGATGGGTAATTAACCAGTGGGACGACTGACCCAGGGTCATGGTGGATCCTCCATCGCGGGCAATGTTTCAATCAGGATGGGATTTGTTTCTCCCAACTAGGAATTCTCTGGCCTGTATGATAAAGGAGGTGGAGTTAGAATATCCCGTCGGGCCTGGGGATCTCTGGATCAAGCCCAGTTCACGCCTGAAATCCTTTCTCCTTCTTTCGGGGTCCTCAGGCTGCGGAGAGCCACGGTGGCTGTGGAGGAGAAGGACGGAGCTTGGGAGGAGCTGGACGCCACCAAATCCAGCCTGCTGCACGTCCAGCAGGAATTACAGCTCCTGAAACGCCAGCGGGACAGTTTGGTAAGGAGAAGGGGAGGCCAATTCGAAGCTCCTATCCTGGTTGGCTTCCTTTACCCTGCTCCCCCCAGGGCCTGTCTCCACCCTATCTAGCGCAGCGTGCCAGCCTCCCATCTGAACTGCTTGTTGGGATCCCATTTCTGCCACCAGCTTCAGCCAAGCCAAGCTTTCCCAATGGCGTGACGGTTGGGAGATAGACTGGAGCTGGGCAGAGCCATTTGTGGTCCCCCTGCTCTATCCCAGACGCTGTGTGACTGTAGGCAAGTTGCTCTGTGCCTCAGTTTCCCCCTCTGTGACACAACTGCTGGTAGGCCTGGTCCAGCTCATTCTATGATGGCAAACTGGGTTTCTGAGAAAACTAGAAGTGTCTGACCACTCTGTCTATCCTAAGGTTGCTACCCATCTGGGTTTTACCTGGACAATCCAGTTTTTGGCTTCTGTGTCTGGGTACCATTTAGGGTTGCTCGATGCCCGGTTTTCAACTGGAAAGTCCAGTATAAAAGTCTGGTTACTATGGGCTGGGGGAGAAGGCGGAGAAGGGGTGGAGCCACAGGGGAAAAGGCGGAGTGGAGGCGGGGCTTTGGGGAAAGAGGCAGGGCAGGGGGCGGGACCTCGGGGGTCCGGTTACCAGCAATTAGAAAGGAGGTGACCTCAGTCTGTCCCCACAGGAGGAGGAGAAGCAGGAGATGCGGGGCGCCATCCAGGAGCTGACGACGGAGGTAGGGCCACGGCGGGTGTGGAGGGGAAAGCTGGGGCACCCAGCTGAGGCGGGGGCCGTGGGCCCGTTCGCTCTCGCAGCCCCGCCTGTTTTCACCTGCAGAATCTCACCCTGACCAAGGGGAACTTCCGAAGCCACCAGCAGCTCTCGGAGGTGCAGCAAGCCATGAAGCAGTTAAAGGTGGGTGGCCCCCAGCCTCTCCACTCCCCCGGGGCCGCGCAGAGCGACCTCTCAGCATGGGAGCTCCAGACAGGGACGCCGGAGACCTGGGTTCTGTTCTCAGCTCTTCCCCAGCCCTGCTGTGCGACTTGGGGCAACTCACTGCTCCTCTCGGTGCCTTGGTTTCCCCTCCCACCCTGGGCACGTTCTTTGGCACAGGGAATTTCATTCACGGTGTGTCTGGGCAGCGCCCAGCACGACAGGGCCCTGATCTCAGGCGGGGTCCATGCAGCACCCAGTGTGACAGGGCCCTGATCTCAGTCGGGGTCCGGGCAGCACCTGCCACGAGGGGGCCCTGATCTCAGTCGGGGTCTGGGCAGCGCCTGGCACGAGGGGGCCCTGATCTCAGGCGGGGTCTGGGCAGCGCCCGGCACGAGGGGGCCCTGATCTCAGTCGGGGTCTGGGCAGCGCCCGGCACGAGGGGGCCCTGATCTCAGGCGGGGTCTGGGCAGCGCCCGGCACGAGGGGGCCCTGATCTCAGTCGGGGTCTGGGCAGCGCCTGGCACGACAGGGCCCTGATCTCAGGCGGGGTCCATGCAGCACCCAGTGTGACAGGGCCCTGATCTCGGTCAGAGTCCGGGCAGCGCCTGGCACGAGGGGGCCCTGATCTCAGTCGGGGTCTGGGCAGCGCCTGGCACGAGGGGGCCCTGATTTCAGTCAGGGTCTGGGCAGCGCCTGGCAAGATGGGGCCGTGATCTGGGTCGGGCTCCTCTAGGCACACCTGTTACACACCACGCCAACCCTGCCTGGCCCTCTATCCAGGCTGGTGTTCAGTGCACCCCAGAGCTCCCCGCTTCCATGCACAAACCCCATGCCGCTGGCTGTTACTGACCAGAAGGCCGGACCCCCCGCCATCCAGAGTCACTGCCCTGAGATTGCTCCCACGGCAGGAAAGACGTTCCCCACAGGGATGGGTGTTTGCCAGGCGCGGGGCCCCAGGTGTGGGTTTGGACAGGGAGGTTTCATTGCACCGAGGTGGGCTGAGCCAGCAGGAGACGCCCATGTTCTGCGTAATTAATTGGGGCAGGGTGAGGCGAGAACGTGTGTGACCCCCAAATGGTTCTGGTGACCCCCCAGCCTCCCTCCCCCCCGGCCCTGCCTCTCTTAAAGCGCTCTCCCTGTCACTAGATGGATCTGCAGCGAGTCAAGGAGGCAAGAGATGCCCAGGGGAAGGAGCTGGCCAAGGTAAATGGGCCGAGATGTAAATTTCTTGCTTACACACTGCTTTCTGCCAAAGAATGGCTGCTTTAACCAGGTGATCATCCGTTCAATTTTGTTGCCTGCTGGCTGAGGCGTCAGTTTGCCTTTTGTCTCTGAGGAACGGGTTTGAAGCTGTTTCCCCAGAGTTGGAACATGTCTTATACAGTTGGATTTTATAACTTTACCTACAATGTTGCCACACATATTTTACCAGGACAATAATGTTCAGCAGACTATGTATTTTCAAATGATCTCTCACAAGGTGTACATAGTATAAAATTTATCGTAGTCTTGTAAACATGGTGAACATAAGAGTACAGATTGTCACAGGGAGTGTGAGACATTGCAGCACAGGGACAGTGCAGCACAGTGGATAGGGTGCTGGGCTGGAATGTAGGACACCTGGGTTCTGTTCCTGGCTGCCATCGTTCTGCCTCAGTTTTCCCTCCCGCCTCTGTCTGTTTGGATTGCCCCCTCACTCCATGTCTGTGCAATGCCTGGCACAACGGGGCTGTTATCGCCATCAGGATCTCTTATCATCCTCCATCTCTCTCGCTTATGGTATCTGCAGCGCAATGTTCTCCCGATGAAGTTGTAGGCCCATAAGCAGTTTCAAGGCCTCCTCTGTGACCCTGCAGTGTGTCAGCTGTTCCACCGTTGAATCCGTATTTGAGGCACCGCGTTACGAGGTGTCTGATGCTTTGGATCTTCTGCCCACAGTCACGGGAAGATGCGTCTTTGGTTTTTCCACTTGCGCATCAAGTAGCCATGTCTTCCATGGTTTATTTGGACGCAGTGGCCCAAAATCTGTGTGGAGGGTCGAAACCGGGAGGATGGCTTGTCGGGTCAATGATAACGTGTTTGTTTGGAATGGGGGGATGAGGACCAGACGTTTTGCCATTCCCTAGCTGGATCGAGAGATGCTTGTGTGTAGCTTTTGCCATTTCAGGCGTGGCTGGTTTATGTTGTCCATAACCTACCAGATGGGAAGTTCTGGGTAGTCTTTGGTGTGTTATTTTGTTGCTAATACAGAAAGCCACGGTAGAAACATTGATTTTAAAGTTCCCGTGATAATTGGCATGGTCTGATTCAGCTGTTCATCCATAAATTGGGTAAGATCCACATCACTCCAGCTGCGTACAGTGGGGTCAAGGCTGAGGTGCATAGCACCGGGGCCGTTGATCCAGACGTTGTTCCTTCTACCTTTCGGATAATGTTGATGCGAGTCTTCACTTTGGAGGCTACTTTCTTGAGGTGGCCATGGAAGGTGAGAGCACGCGATCAAAAATGACCCCATGCCAGGTCGGCGTTGGGTCATAATGCCCCGTTTCACCCCAAAACTTGAGCATCGGAGAGTTTCATGTGGTTCTGTTCTCATGGTGGAAAGTAGAGACTCCCGATGTGCTTGGATTTGATTTTGGCCACACTTTTGGAAGTGCCCCTCCATGAGCTGAAGGTCAGATGTAAGGGTTCCTTCAAGGTCCTGAACGCTACAGGCCTCTGTTGCGCATGTCAGATCATTTCAGGCACATCGCTTACATAGACGTTGAAGAGTGTTGGAGCAAGTAGAGTTCTCCATGGGGTATTGTTCTCCATGGGGTAACATTCCTCCATGGGATATTGTTCCTGCATGTGGGTATTGTTCCTCCATGGGTCATTGTTCTCCATGGGGTATTGTTCCTCCACAGCGTATTGTTCTCCATGGGGTATCGTTCCTCCACGGGGTATTGTTCCTGCATGGGGTATTGTCCTCTATGGGGTGCTGTTCCTCCATAGGGTATTGCTCTCCATGGGGTATTGTTCCTCCACAGGATATTGTTCTCCATGAGTTATTGCTCCTCCATGAGGTAGTCTCCATGGCATATCATTCCTTTGCCTCTCCCCTGATGCCCGCTTGTTTGGCATTGTTCAACAGGATACCCCCAAACATTCGCCTGTGCTTCTTTTTCAGGAGAAGCTCCACGCCTCCGAGCTGACGGAGACGATTCGGGAGCAACGGGAGATCCAGGAGGTACCAGATTTTATGGCCGTACAGACTGTGACGCTCCGGAGCAGCCCAGCTTGATGCACGGTACCGCGGGTGGTGTACAAGGGCGGTGGGACCTCTGACTGCAGGGGGCCTGTGACAATGACGCTGGCTGGGACCATCCATGGGGCTGCTGTAGTGTGGGGCAGGAGACACAGTCAGCACTCTGTGTTCTTACTTCCTGAACTTTTATTTGAAGGTCCTTCAGAGCAAAATAAGCCAACTGAAAGAAGAGCTGGAGGACTCGGAGCAGCAGAACGCGCTGTAAGTCAAAGGGTGGGGGCCGGACCCCAGCAGGGGTCAATGGGCCATAGTTCCACAGAGTCAATGGGGCCAATCCCCAGCCGGGGTCACTCGGCCATAGCTCCATGAAGTCAATGGGGCCAATCCCCAGCTGGGGTCAATGGCCCATAATTCCATTGGAGTTAATGGGGCCAGACCCCCAGCTGGGGTCAATGGGCTGTAGCTCTGTTGGACTCAATGGGGACAAACCCCAGCTGGGGTCAATGGGCCGTAGCTCCGTTGGACTCAATGGGGACAGACCCCAGCTGGGGTCAATGGGCCGTAGCTCCGTTGGACTCAATGGGGACAGACCCCAGCTGGGGTCAATGGGCCGTAGCTCCGTTGGACTCAATGGGGACAGACCCCAGCTGGGGTCAATGGGCCGTAGCTCCGTTGGACTCAATGGGGACAGACCCCAGCTGGGGTCAATGGGCCGTAGCTCCTTTGGACTCAACGGGGACAGACCCCAGCTGGGGTCAATGGGCCGTAGCTCCGTTGGACTCAACGGGGACAGACCCCAGCTGGGGTCAATGGGCCGTAGCTCCGTTGGACTCAACGGGGACAGACCCCAGCTGGGGTCAATGGGCCGTAGCTCCGTTGGACTCAACGGGGACAGACCCCAGCTGGGGTCAATGGGCCGTAGCTCCGTTGGACTCAACGGGGACAGACCCCAGCTGGGGTCAATGGGCCGTAGCTCCGTTGGACTCAACGGGGACAGACCCCAGCTGGGGTCAATGGGCCGTAGCTCCGTTGGACTCAACGGGGACAGACCCCAGCTGGGGTCAATGGGCCGTAGCTCCGTTGGAGTCAATGGGGACAGACCCCAGCTGGGGTCAATGGGCCGTAGCTCCGTTGGACTCAACGGGGACAGACCCCAGCTGGGGTCAATGGCCCATAGCTCCATTGGAGTCAATGGGCCAGATCCCCAGCTGGGGTCAATGGGCCGTAGCTCCGTTGGACTCAACGGGGACAGACCCCAGCTGGGGTCAATGGGCCGTAGCTCCGTTGGACTCAACGGGGACAGACCCCAGCTGGGGTCAATGGCCCATAGCTCCATTGGAGTCAATGGCCCATAGCTCCTTTGGAGTCAATGGGCCAGATCCAAGCTGGGGTGAATGGGCCGTAGCTCCGTTGGAGTCAGTGGGGCAGGCCCCCAGCTGGTGGGAATTGGACTCCAGTGTGGGGGATAGGACAGAGACATAGCCGGTTCCCACGACCTTTTCACCTTTAATTGTGACTCCTGATGTCTGAACCCTTAGGAAAAAAAATTCTCGCCAGTCCCAGGGCCATTGTCAGGCTGTGGCTAGTTTGATCAGCCCGTGGTCCCGCTGGGTGTGCGGTTAAAGCTCCGGGCAGCCAGTCCGGGGACCTGGGTCTGGGTCCCAACTCTGCTATAGACAGAAATACAGCCACTCTCATTATGTATCTGGGCAGCGCCTGGCATGACAGGACCTTGATCTCGGTTGGGGGTCCAAGCAGCTCCCAGTGCAAGGGGGCCTCAAATATGCGTTAGGGTCTCCAACAACCCAAATTCCCCATGATGCTTTGTGCACGAACCCAAGTGTTTTGCATCCCTAATTCTAGCTGTGGGCTCTGGCACTTGGGGGTCCTGCTCTGAGCAGGGGGTTGGACTAGATGATCTCCTGAGGTCCCTTCCAACCCTGATATTCTCTGAGTCTATGATTCTATGACGTGGCTGAAATGTAGCATGTGGCCAAATGATGGAATATGTGTCCTATTTTCGTCTGACCCCATTGACCCGGGCCAGATGTCCAGTAAAGGCCCCCGTGTGCTTGACGTGGGATCCTGGCTATCGCAAATGTCTATGGCGATGGAAGAGATAGTGACCCGTTGAGAGAGGTTTTTAGCTTGTTAGGAATGACACATTGTCCGAGGGGTTTTCTAGAAGAAGGACTTAGTCCTGGAGATCTTCGGCTGGTTGAGCAGGGGAGCTGAGATATCCTAAAAGGAAAGCCACCTGCAGATCAGTTATGGTGAAGGAATCATCTTTGGCCCAAGCATGACATATAAACAGGGTCTTTTCTAGGAGTGACTCCGACCTTTGGGATGGGCTCCTACTAAAAGTGAGGACACCCCAGTTGGGTTGCTCAGGGGTGGGAAAAATTCACCCAAACAGAAGTTGGTCCAATAAAAGATATGATCTTTTTCTGAGAGATGTAGTTAAGCCAGTCTAAGTCTCGTGGGAGGTGGGTTTAGATAGAGATGGGAGAACCCATCCCCCCGTTGGAGTAAGTGTCTACATGGGAGCCCAGCAGCGTAGCTGTCCGGTGGACTGGGGACCATGTCACTTAGCTGTCCATGTTTGTCTTTGCCCACCGATCTTTGAGGAATACATTTCCAACGGAGCCCGATCCTTTCACCTCTTCTGAAGACCAGATCTGAGTGCGAACCTGACGCCATGGCCCTCTGACGTCTCCCTCTTGCTTTTCACAGCCAGAAGCTGGAACAGGGAGAGGACCTCTCTGGGTCGTTGCTGTGCGAGATAGTGGAAGCCAAGCTGGTAAGGAACAGGGCCCCCAAAATGCCGGAGAGCCGGGCTCGGCAGCAAGAGCCCGGCTGTGATGCTGGCAGAGATTCTGCCCCGCAATGAGGCACCATGTTCCCCTGGGAGGAGAGCCCAGGCTCAGCCTGGGGGAGGAATCGAGAGCTTGGTGGTTTATGAACTGGGTCCAGTGGCCAATTCCCAGCTGTGCCCAGTGATGTCACGGATCATCCTGGGCCAGGCTGGGAACATGGGCCTCATCTGTGTAAATGGGGAGAGAAAAGCCTTCCATTGTTGATCTTGTCTGTTTAGACTGTGAGCTTTTCGGGGCTGCTCTCACTCTGGGTCTGGGCAGCGCCCAGCACAATGGAGGGCCCTGATCTTGGTTGGGGTCTGGGAAGCGCCTGGCATGATGGGGCATCGATCAGGGTCAATTTCTCTGCAGCACCCAGGGTGTAATGGGGGGCCCGTGTCTCCGCGGAGGTGTAGGCCCTGCTGCAATACAAACGCTAATAAATCTTCCCGCTGGGGGTTATTCTGCAGGAGACTCGACTGGTGGCAAAGAGACGTGGCATCGCCTACTGGCTATGGTGAGAGCAGTGTTTCCTTCTCTGGGGGTCGGGACACCTGGGCTCTTGCCATCAGTTAATGCCCTGTACAGTGGCCGACTGCATCACTCTTTCTTTCTTTCTTTCTTTCTTTCTTTCTTTCTTTCTTTCTTTCTTTCAGTCCATTCGGGGCAGGTCCCAGCCATGGCTCAGTTATGTTTATTACTGGTGCAGTCATTTCCCTAATTGCTGATTAAGTATTTAATGTATTTATGCCTTGCTGGATTTATGCCAGGGCATTCCCCCAGTGGCAGCCATTAATCAGCTAGTCCATAGGGATCTGGCTGAAAGGAATCAACCCATCTAGCCTGGTATCCTGTCTCCGACAGAGGTGCAAGACACCTCCTAGTAGCTGGTGCTGGGATAACCCGCCCCTCGGGGCCCATGCCATCTCACCCCCATTGGTTTGAGGTCAGCTCCTGCCCTGGATCAGGAGGGTTTTGACACCCTCCACGGCTCTGGGGCCAGATCCCCAGATGGGGCTCTTTGGTGTCACGCCACTGACTCCAGAGACTGGCACCTGCTGGGGTTCTGGCCCGAGGTCTCCATCCCGCCGGGTGTGTCAGTCTGAAAGTGACGCTGCAGCTTGATCACACGTCACGAGGCTGGGTGCAGAACTAGCTGCGGGTGGGGGTGGGATCTCCGGCCAGGGTTGTGTGGTGAGATCCAAATGAGATCCAAATGGCCCCTTGTGGCCTTAAAACCCAGGAGCATCACATCAACATTCAGTCCCGGTTTGGATCCCGCTGAATGGGGACTTCTGTGGGATCCAGTGGTGGGGAGTTCCACAGTCTCTCTGATCGCTCTTTCCCCGCAGGACGCTGGCCTCCCTCTACGTCTGGCTGCAGCTCCTCGCCGGCTCCCTCGTGGCCATGGCCATCCTCTATACGTACTTCTTCGACGAGGAGTTCATCTACCGCACGCTGCCGCGGGTGCTTTCCGAGCATGGCTACGACCAGCTGGCCTCCGGCCTGGGCGGCCACCTCACCCTGCACAGCCAGGGGCTCCTGCCCTTCTGAGCCCTGCCCACGGCCACGGCTGGCTGCGGTGCCGCGGGCTATTAGTGGGCATGTGTGCGTCTGGAGGAAAACCCAGTAGAGGCCCCTGGGTGATTAAACTATTTAACTGCCGCGTGTTCACTACTGTGACTCCCGCACCTCGGTCAGGTCACTGTCCCACCCTGTCTAGCTTTACTGATTGTCAAAGGTGGTGGTGTGGGAGCCATGTCGGTCCCTCTTTGTCTCTCTTTGCCGACTGTAGGCAGCGTTGTTGGAGCCATGTCTTTCCCACCGTCTTTCTCTATCTTTGCCCAAGCAGTTCCCTGTCTTATACCAAGTTCCCAGCGTCTCCAGCCCTCTAGGTGAGGGGACCCAACAGCCCCACAGGGTGCCGGCCCCTACATCCATATCACTGAGGGGACACCTACAGCATCGTTTTGCCCCCCATGTACCCCCAAAGTCCATTGCCTCTGCCTTCAGAACCAGGAAGGATTCCTGGGGGCTGGACAATGTCCCCCCGGCCTGCTCCCCATTTCACTCAAGGGCTGTAAACGTACGTTTCCTTCTCCTCTGCCGGGCATCCAGCCGACCGGCCGAGAAAATCCACACTCTGGTGTCCAGGGCAGGCTGGGGGGGGCTGGAGGGAGTTTCCGTTTGGGGCTGGCTGGAGACATGGAGTGAAGGGCGGATGTGGTTGTCTGGCTCACTGCCCCCCAAAATGGACCCGGCTGAGGGGTCCAGTTCTCTGCACCTACAAGCTCTGGGTTAGACCATGTTCCTGTCATCTAATAAACCCTCTGTTTTACCGGCTGGCTGAGAGTCCCATCTGACTGCGGAGTTGGGGGGCAGGACCCTCTGGCTTCCCCAAGACCCCGCCTGGGCGGACTCGCTGGGAGAAGCGCACAGGGCGGCAGAGGATGCTGAAGGCTCCGAGGTCAGACCCAGGAAGGTGGAAGCCGTGTGAGCTGTGTGCCCTGCAGACAGGCTGCTCACAGAAAGGAGATTTCCCCAGAGTCCTGCCTGGCTTCGTGGGGAGCAGTTCCAGAGCATCGCCCGGGGACTCCATGACACCGGGTTCTTGCAAATCCAACGCGGAGCGTGGCAACGAAGAGCCGAGATTTAAGTGATGCTGAGCCAGAGGAAAAGGCATCAAACTGCACTTTTCTAGTGACGGACACGGCATTGTCGCACGGGGCTATTTTGCCGAGTGTTTACGGCAGAGTTGTTGGAGCTGTGTCCATCCCACCCTGTCTATCTTTGCCGATTGTTGTACGCGGTGTTGTTGGAATCACGTCGGTCCCACCATGTCTATCTTTGCCAATTGTACATGGCATTGTTGGAGCCGTGTCAGTCCCACCTTGCCTGTCTTTGCCGATTGTTGTACGCGGTGTTGCTGGAATCACGTCGGTCCCACCGCGTCTATCTTTGCCAATTGTACATGGCATTGTTGGAGCCGTGTCAGTCCCAACCCTTGCCTGTCTTTGCCAGTTGTTGTACGCGGTGTTGTTGGAGCCGCGTCCTTCCCACCTTGTCTCTCTATCTTTGCCCAAGCAGTGTTCGGCCTTACGTCCAGTTCCTGGCATCTCCAGCCCTCCAGGCCGGGGGACTGGACAGGCCCAGAGGATGCCGGCCCCTACATCCATCAAGGAGGGGACACCTACAGGGTCATTTTACGCCTTGTGTATCCCCCAAAGTCCATTATCTTTGCCTCAAGAGTCGGGAAGGATTCCTTGGGGGCTGGACATTGTCCCCCCCACCTGCTCCCCATTTAGCTCAAGGGCTGTAAACGTACGTTTCTTTCTCTCCGCCGGGCATCCCGCCAGTCGGCCGGGTAAATCCACACTCCGGTGTCTAGGGCAGGCTGGGTTTCCGCTCGGCCTCCCCAACCCAGTGTGAGACCCTGTTTCCAGCCCACATCTAGGACTCACTGAACCCAACCCGGACATGCAGCGCCAGGTTACATACGAGACCTTACAAGACAACTCCCAGGAGAGCGGACAAAGGCCGGGGCACGGCCCAGACCCTGCGAATCTTTGGCAGGGCCGGAGCAGGGGGTGCTCCCCTCTAGGGGTGTGAAAGGTTCCCGGGCACTTTCTCAAAATGTGCCCTTTAACCCTGGTTTCGGGGCCAGTTCCCCCAGCCCCACGGAGCACAGGCCGGTGCCATGAAACTGTGGCCATCCCCGGCTGGTACAGTCCGGGCAGCTCTAGTTATTATCAGCCTCCTCTGTTAGCTGATCTGCAGTGTGATGGGCAGGGAATAGAGACCCCGCTCCCGGCCAAGAAGTGCAGAGAGAACCCAGGAGTCCTGGCTCCCAGCCCTGACACAATGATTCAAATGCCCCTTCCCCCAGACATGGTGCCCCTGTCAACCGCTTGGTGCAGGGGTTCAGTGTTTATTGGGGATGGGGGAGGGGTCGCAGCCCCCCACACCTGGGCGCTTTGGGGGGGTGCAGCCCCTGTGAGGCCAAGACAGGGCTGGAGTCAACCAGGCCTCTAGGGCAGCTTCTGCAGTGGGGCCTGAGACCACCTCCAGGCCTTTGCTGTTCAGCCCCCTTGAGCCAATGTCCGTCCATCCCCACGCAGGCCTCGCTGGCTGTGGTCTGCCAGCCCCCCTGCCATGTCCCACCCCTTTGCCAGCTCCCTGGCCCCCTGCCCTGCCCCTCTGGCCCCTGAGCCCGCAATCTGCCATTAATCCCTGTACTTAGCTATCCCTCCATCCTCATATGCACCCCAATATCTATCCATCCCCACACACCCCTTTATCCCCATCTGCACCCCGCTGTCTATCCCTCCATCCCATGCTCCCCCGCAGCTGTCGGTGCGGCTGGCTCTGGGCTCTAGCATCCCCTGACGTATGGCTTCAAATCCTTTCCCCTGCAGCATTTCTTCCACGCGACCCTGCCCGAGAAGAGCAGAGAGCGAGTCAGCGGGAGAAGGGGCCAGTGGGCCGGTGCCCTGGCCCTGCCCGTGGCCAGCTGGGCATGAGACTCTGTGGTCTGGTACCTGTGTCGGGGGAGCCTGGGAGGGGAGTGGGGTCTGCTGGTTAGAGCAGGGGGGCTGGGAGCCAGGACTCCTGGGTTCTCTCCCTGGCTCTGGGAGGGGAGCGGGGTCTAGTGGTTAGAACAGGGGGCCTGGGAGCCAGGACTCCTGGGTTCTCTCCCCCCTCTGGGAGGGGAATGGGGTCTAGTGGTTAGAGCAGGGGGGACTGGGAGCCAGGACTCCTGGTGTCTACGCCTGGCTCTCCCCACTTGCTGCTTCCCTCCTGAGACCCACCCAGGCCATTCCCCATCCCGCCCCGGCACCAGTGAGTCTCACCAGGGCATGAGGCCGCGCGCTTTCCTTGCGTTGAGCTTAGCACATCTGATGTCGTCTGCGATGTTGTTATCCAAGAGCTCTGTGGGGCAGAGTGTGGGGACCCAGGGAGGGGGAGAGAGATGTGTGGGGGCGAGTGGATGGCTGGAGGAACAGGACGGGTGTACGAATGGGTTTGATGATGGGTGGAGGTTGGATATTAGGAAACACTATTTCACGAGGAGGGTGGTGAAGCTCTGGAATGGGCTCCCTAGGGAGGCGGTGGAATCTCCATCCTTAGAGGTTTTTAAGGCCTGGCTTGACAAAGCCCTGGCTGGGAGGATTTAGTTGGGGTTGGTCCTGCTTTCAGCAGGGGGTTGGACTAGGTGACCTCCTGAGGTCCCTTCCAACTCTATTCTTCTATGAGGAGCGGTAGAAGTAGATGGACGTGAGCGGATGGATGGATGGACGATAGATGGATGGCCAGATGGAGGGAGAGGTGGATGGACAGAGGTGTGTGATGGGTGGATGGATGGACGGAGGTGTGGACGGATGGGTGGGACGGACAGGTGGAGGGATGGACAGGTGGACGTCTGGATGGATGGAGAGCGAGGGGTAGAGGGGGTGGCATGGCTGTGTCGGGTGGGTCCCTGCCCCCCTTCCCTGCCCCTCTTACTGCTGCAGGGCATGTGGCACCCACCCGTTGCTGGCCCCCAGCGTTCGCCCGTCGTAGCCACAGTACTTGCTGTTGATCTGGAAGATCCCATAGTCTGAGCTGCCGTTCTTGCTGCAGTTGATGGCCTTGGTGTTGTAACAACTCTTGTGCCTTGCCAGGCAGACCCCTGCGTGCGGGGAGAAGTAGGATGGGGGGGGGGGCCCTTCCTGGCCGGCTTCCTGGAGGCTAGATCCACAACCCGCCGCTCAGCGGCTGCCTAACCCTGGAGGTGCCTAAGTCCCCTGGACCCCCTGCCCTTCAATCTGCCTCCCCAGTTCTAGATTGGGCCGGGCGCGCGGTCGCTGGGGGCAGCCTTGTGCTTAGCGGCTGGCACATAGGAAATCTAGGGTCCTTCCCCCCTCCCATGCCTGCTGCGGAGAAGGGATTTCGAATGCGTGGGGGGGAAGAAAGCCCTGGCCACGGAGCCACACGGGGTGGCCTCCATCTCCTGTATAGCAGACGGGGCCCCGGGGCAGGGGGACTGCACCCTGGGTCCCCCCAAACAGCTGGCTGGAAGCGAGAGTCGGGCCTTTAATTCTTTGCAAGGAGTTGGGCGGAGGAGCCCTTCGGGGAGCCGGCCCCGGCAGCGGTGGGTGGATGGGGGCAGCTACTCACAATCAGCCCCCGATCTCCTGCCGAAGCCTTCCAGCCCATACTGCCGGAGGATCCGCACCAGCTGGCACCGGGGAATGACGGGGCCCCGGCAGCCGGGGGGGCACCGCGGCCAGCAGGACCAGGAGAAGCGGGAGCCCGAGGAGCAGCAGCAGCTTCATGGTGGCTGAGGCTGCGTCCGGCTGGGGGTCAGAGCAGCTGCTGCGGGGCCCCCCCTTTCATCCCGGCTCTGGGGCAGGGAGCCCAGGCTCCCCCAAGCACATCCTTCTGGGAACAGCACCAGGGGCAGCCGCCCAGACGTGTCTGTTCCCAGCAGCCGCCTCCCGCACAGTAATTCAGGTTGCGTCAGGGACTCCTGGTTAGCCGCCTGTTTGGAAGGCCTCCGAAATCCACCCGCTTCGGCGGAGCCCTTTGAAATGTGGGGGCCCTCAGCAGGGTGTGGAGGTGGGTTAGTGACCCTGAATTGGGAGCGTTTGAGCCTCGGGTGCCGGCGATATCGCCTGCCCCAGAAGAGCCATTTTTCAAAAGGTTTCTAAGCACGTGTTTTGCCCAGAGCGAGAGAAAGTGGATGACTGACATGCTGCAGATCAAAATGACCTCGGTGTGCGGAGTTTTAGCCAACGGAGTGAGTGGCGCCCACAAAATCTTTGGGGGAGCCCAAACCGAGAACAGGATGTAAGAAAACGGCCCGTGGTTTTTTAACACGGTGGCTGCACCTATGCCGGAAAAGGGCGGCGGGTTTCCACGCACGCTCAAAGCTGAATGGTTATCGGCTTCCTTGAAATTTGGTGTGGCTCAAGGGGACGCGGGACAGCACTGGCGAACCAAATTTGGGGTCATTAGACCCAGGGGTTCCTGAGTTACAGCCTCCTCTCCACCCCGAAACCGGTTGCCATCTGCTGCCGGGTGCTGTTAAACTGAGAGGGCGTCATGCCTGGGTGCATCGCAGCCCCCACTGAGATGGAGAGCCGGGAGCTCGCCCTGCAGTTAACTTAAGGATAAATTAAGTGCAAGGCTCCACCCAAGATAAAGGCATTTTGGACTGAGGTCTTGTCTACACTTAAAATGTAGGTGGATACAACTACTGGGAATTGGTCCTGCTTCGAGCAGGGGGTTGGACTAGATGACCTTCTGGGGTCCCTTCCAACCCTTATATTCTATGATTCTATGATTCTATGATTCTATACCTGGGGGAGCGGTATGAAAAAATCCACTGCCCCCCTAACGACGTAGTGTAGCCGCGGCTAGGCTGACGGCCGGCTGCTTCCACTGACTAAGCGGCCGCCACTTGGGGAGGTGATTTCACCTTCCACCAGCATCTGCATGGCTGCAATTGGTGAATTTGGAGGTGTCGAGGTTCCCTCCCCACTCTGAACTCTAGGGTACCACATGAGAGATCCCCTAAGTTTATTCTTACCAGCTTAGGTTAAAACTTCCCCAAGGCGCAAATTCCGCCTTGTCCTTGAACAGTACGCTGCTATCACAAGTGATTTTGACAAAGAACAGGGAAAGGACCACTCGGAGTCCTAGTCCCCCTAAATATTCCCCCAAGCCCTACACCCCCTTTCCTGGGGAAGGCTTGATAATAATATCCTCACCAATGGGTACAGGTGAACACAGACCCAAACCCTTGGATCTTAAGAACAATGAAAAATCAATCAGGTTCTTACAAGAAGAACTTTATTTAAAGAAAAGGTAAAAGAATCACCTGTGTAAAATCAGGATGGTAGATACCTTACAGGGTAATCAGATTCAAAACATAGAGAATCCCTCTAGGCAAAACCTTCAGTTACAAAAAGACACAAAAGCAGGACTACACATTCCCTCCAGCACAGTGAATTTCACAAGCCAAAAACAAAAGAAAACCTAATGCATGTTCTAGCTAGATTACTTACTAACTCTATAGGAGTTGAATTGCTTGTTTCCTTGATCGGTCCCCGGGCAGAGGTATCACACAGACAGACAAAGCCTTTCCCCCTCCCCCCCGCCAGATTTGAAAGTATCTTGTCTCCCCATTGGTCATTTCTTGGTCAGGTACCAGCCAGGTCACCCGAGCTTCTTAATCCTTTACAGGAAAGAGGATTTTATACTGTATCAGAGCTTCTTAACCCCTTCCCTTTATATTTCTGACAGGAGCGTTCGCGGCTGACCAGCAAATGCATCCTGGATGACACAGAAACATCACAAGTTCTGACCGGCTGCCATGTGGCAGAGACAGGTCCGGCCCCATGGAAAGACCCCTTCTCTCAGACATCTCTTGACATTTCACAATGGGAACCAGCTATGACCCCTCTGCTGGCCCCGCCGCAAACTCCACCCTCCGCCCGTCTGTCAAGGTGCCGCTTTTGGACACTCGAGAAAATGCGCCTTTGAAGCTTGTGACCTCAAGGCTCAACCCATGCTCCTTGCCTGCCACGCCGCTGGTCTCCCTGCAATCTGGTCCGTTGCCCGAGTCTGGGTCACGTAGAGTAGATGTAACCCACACACCTGCTGGGGGTGGTGTTCTGTCCCGTCTAGTGGCACCGAGACCATTTAAAGAGAGAGGAAATGAGTCTGCTCTACAACCTTCGCTAACAGCCAGTTGACTTTTAGCTCATGCAGTAGAGGCTTATGCACTAAGCCCCAGAGGTCCCCGGTTCGATCCCGCCTGCCGACGAGCGGGGTCTGTTGGCGTTACACAGACACCTGAAGGTTCTTGAACACTACCGTCAATGGTGTTGCCGCAGGACCTGCCGAATCAAGCAGGGTGATCGACATACCAACCAAGCCAAAACCTCCATCCTTGACGCTCTGATCATCCCCTGCCAACACCGTTGGGCTGGGTGTGTTCTTCAAAGGCCAGAAGACTGACTCCTGAAGCCAGTCACGTTCTCCCAACTGAGCCGCGGCCGGCAGATGAAGGATGGACAAAAAGAACGCTTCAAAGACACCCTCAAAGCCAACCTGAGGAAGTGCAATATTGACCCAAACTCATGGGAGACCCGAGCCCTCAACCAATAAAAATGAAAAAGGACCTTGTGGGGAGGATCCCAGGATTTCAAGATCCAACAGAGACAATCATAAATGGGGAAAGGAGGAAAGAACCCAATGCCTCCTGACTTGACGATCCAGATCCGCCCCTTCCACTGGGAGACTTCTGCCCCCTTCATGACAAGATCCATGGATCCTGGCTCAGGCTTACTAGCCACCTGCAGATCTGCCAGCGATAACCCACTCTTGTTTTATGGAAAGCAATCATCCTCGAACACCGAGGGATCCCCGCCCATGGGGAACAGTTGTGGAGAGGGGGCCAGGTTGGAGGGAGAACGCAGCTGCATCAGGGCTGGCTCGGGATGCGAATTGCTGGATGGGACATGTGCAACGATATCCTGTTGACCTGTGCATTTTGTCATAGCTTTGTAGGGACGCTATGGCGTATAATGCTGATAAGTTTGACACTCTAATTAGCTTGGAATCTGCTGGAGGGCAAATGGGAAAATATAAATATTCAAAATATGGTCCTGAATTCAAGGGCAGGGTGTGTGAAGGAAGGGCAGAAAAGATCTGGAAACATGCCCTGGAATTTGGGTATGGCCGGTTTCCTGTAACGAGGTTAACTGGCTTGGGATCTTTGTTTTCCACAAATCATAGGTGCCGGTGACTGTGCCGATAGCCAGAGCCTAAGAGCTCTCTTGCTGTTTGTATCCGTATGTTTAGTTATTTTAATGAGAAACCTAAGAAAAGCTGCTCTCTCTCTCTCTCTCTCTCTCTCTCTCTCTCTCCCTCTCCCTCTGTCGTGTGCGACCAACCAACGAGAATCAGCTGCCTGAAAGAAGCTGTAGTAGTAAGAAATAGCATAAGGGTAAGGAATTATTTGCTCAAATGCCATAACGGATCAGGCTACACCACCAATTCCTATCAGCAGCATTCGACAAGGCAGGAAAATCAATGGCAAAGCCCCGATGTTAGCACAGAGTCAGGGTTGATTGGGGGTGGGTCATGCCCCTGCAGAACAGCTGAGTGGAGCATAATGCAAATCTCTGAAAGCTGGGAAATGCACAGTTAAGGCTGCCTCTGTCACCTTAACTCTACCCTCTTTCAGTACACCCTGTTAACACGCATACCTTAAGTCTGCCAGCCCCACAGAGGCTGAAAAGAACATGCTCCTCACCTCCTTTTACAACCTGCTTGCATTGCCTGGTTGTCAGCTGTTTGGGTTTTGTTCAATTCCCTGTTCTGCAAGGGGATGACATACCTCCGAGCAACCTCACCTCTGCGTTAGTGTAGACATGAGCGGGGTCAGGGGAGGGGGATGGGAGCTGGCTCTGTATGACCTTGGGTAAGTCTTCCCCCTGCCCTGTTTCTCCTCCTGTCTCCCCTGCGAAATGGGGAATGATGAAATTTCATTTCCTTTTAAAGCTTTTTTAGCCCGAAACCCAAATCAGAACTGAGCTGAGGCTCCTTGGATTGTTGGCCCCCACCCATGCCCTCCCGCCCCGCATCCCCGGTGCATGAGTTGGCAATGGGGACCCACCCAGTGCCATCCCCACACCAAGGTGGGGAGAGACTGGCACGGCTTCTGTGGCAGCCAGAAGTGAGCAGGCTGGTCTGTGGGTGCTGCCCTCTTCTGCGCTGGATAACCAGCCAGGGCTGCCCAATCAGATGGGAAAACCATGATCTTGGAAGGTGGGAATGTCCACTGCCAGGGATATCCGCCTCTTCCTCCATCACCCCTCTGCCCCTTCCTCCATCACCCGTGTTGCACAGCCGCTGCTCATGCCAAGAGGAAAGGCGCTGATCCGGTAAAGGGCGGCACCCAGATGCCCCGCTTGTCTCAGCAGATGCCAGAGGACAGCAAAAAACCCACCACGGTCTCTGACTCGCTGACATGGGGCGAGCCAGAGCTGAGCACGGGAGCAGACCCACCGGCTGGGCCTGTTTCTGAACCATCTCAAAGCTCCCAGCCCATCTCTGATGATTCAGAGCAGAGTGTGTGGGGGGAACCCAGCATGCATCTGGCTCATTGTGCATCTGAGAGTCGGAGTGCAGGACCTTCCTGACCCTGCAAGCCAAGCCCTGAAGCATGAGGCTGGATTGGAAAAGGACAGGAATAAACGGGGGAGGGTGGGGGCTTCCTAGATTCAAAGGTTCCCTAGGCCAGAGGGGACCCCATGCCTACCCCGCTCAGGCCAGATTGTAGCAAATCTCCCAGCATCAGCCTCAAAGCATGCCTTTTAGAGAGACTGCTCATTTCACCACCGCCATGGCCGGTGGGGACCATGGTGGTCAGCCAATCTGACCTCCGCAGCCCAGAGCCTGGCTCCCAAATAATTCCCTGGGCAGATCTTTTAGGGAAACTTCCCAGGATGGCAGGAAAATAGCCCAGGTTGGAGAAGCCACTCCCCCCTGTGGACAATTGTTTGGTGGTTAATTTCCTTGCCGGGGGGGAGGGGGGGTGTTAAAAATTTCCACTCTAAGTCCCGGGTTGAATGTGTCCCGTTGCAACTTCCTGTCCAGTCCGCCCAAGGAGACTGAGCGAGTGTCCCTCCCAGCCCCCAGCCACAAGTAGGAGCAACGCTGGGCTGGCGTGGGAATCGGCTGTAATATTTTGTACCAAGCTCGCGTGTGCCTCAGTTTCCCTCCCATGGGCTGCACTGCCACCTAGAGGGGTGGGAGAGGGCAGTCGACTCCATGCAGCAGCCCAGAAATGGAGGTGAGACTGGCCCAGTGCTGTCTCAGGGTCCGGGTCAATGACTCTCTCGCTCCCAATCTCTGTGCATGGTAATCCGGAGGGTGTTAGCAACGCTGAGCATTTCACAGAGCTCTGCACTCACGTCGGGTCAGGGAGGTGAATCTATCAACAGCTTCCCCTAGCTTGGGACAAACATCCTGTTAATTACCCCAAACTCCCACTGCAAGCCATCAGCCGCTCCTCCTCCACCTCTGGCTCCCATTCCCAAGGGCCACGGCTGCTAACGATGCCCAGAGCGGCAGGGAACCATGACCGGTAATTAAGACGCTGGGGATGGATCAAAGCGGGGAGCAGAGGTGTAGCCCAGGGGAGGGCCATGCTGCCTTCCCCGTCTCTGTCTGCTCCCAGAGACCTGCGCCTAATGCTTTAGCTTCCCCCTGCGCTCTTAGTTCAACAGGCCTTGGCCGAAAGTCCTTGGGACAAACCAAACTGACAAACTCACCGCACCAAGGCTGGCAGGATGTTGAGTCACCAAGAAGGAGGTAGGGGGGAACATATGAGATTGTGTCCAAGTGTGAATTTTGGTAATGGTTTTTGTAGGAGGCCCACGTGTGCCTCAGTTTCCCCCTTTTTGTGCATTACTACCCAGTGTGT